AGGCGTCTGCGTCGGCTATGCGCGCCCTGCCCGATCAATCACTGCTGGCCCCCAATCACTGCCGCTGGGCTCCCAATCAGGCCGGCCCCCCGTAGCCGCCTCCAGCCGCGCCGCCCACGCTCCTCGCGGGAGGGCGCCGACAACTGCCCACCGGTGCCCTGGGGCCTCCAGGCCATGGCCCCCGGGTCACCATCGATGCTGCGTGCTCGACCACGGCCCACCGATACTACGTGCTCGACCATGGCCCCAGGATGACCCATCGCTCCTGGGCCGTCTTCTGCGGTCTTGGGACGGTCGTCGTCAACGTCCTTGTCGTCGTCATCGTCATTGTCGTCGTCATCATCGTCATCGTCATCGTCGTCGTCGTCGTCATCGTCATCACCGCGGTTTCCCACGGTCTTCGCACGGCTTGCCGCGGCCTTCGGCGGCCTTTGGCGGCCTCCCGGCGGTCTTTGGCGGCCTCCGGCGGTCTTTGGCGGTCTCCAGCGATCTTCGGCGCGAAAGCTGGACGGCTGCGTCCAAACAAGGGGCCCGTGATCGAACACCTCACAGCCATACACGGCCAAAGTCCGCGCACGGGCGCCTTCCCCGGAGGCCGGCCGAGCCCACGGGCTCCCTGAGGTCCTGCAGCTCTCTGTTCACAAAGGGCGTTCCTTGCATGGCTCTGGGCCAGAAGGCACTCACGGAGAGATCCGGCCTGAAAAATTACTTTGGAAAAGGGGTTCTCCGGGGCTGCATTACGTTTTTTTTGCATTGTTGGTGGTGGGTTGGTGGGGGCGGGTAGCTACCCAGAGGTGCGCGCGTCTTGAAAAACTTGGGACCGAAGTGCCTCTCAATGTTCGGCCTCCCGGGGCCCCAGCCGGCCCCCGGGGGACCGCTGAAACAACGCCTCGCGCTGAAAAGCTGGCTCCGAGGACGGTGTCGGGACTTCCCTGAGATCCGACGTAGCGAAAAAATTGCAACATCGTGAAAATCCGCGCCTGGAGCCCTGGAGCCCATCTTTCTGCATCATTTCTCGAGTCGGATCGCTCTGCGAGGGTCCCGGGACCCGAAGGAAGGCGACAACGCCCGGCTCGAAAAAATTGAGTCGCCAGGATCTCAGACTTCTGGGGATCCCGCACTGAACAAAATCCAGTCCAGACATCGCTTTCGTCTGGACCTCCACCTCACCGAGCCTGGCTGTCCCGAGACCTGGGCGCCGCAAATCCTTCACGCTGGGCGCGCTCGCCCGGCTTCGGACAACCCGGAGCCACCACTTGAGCGGGGACCGACCGTCCCGGCATTCCTAAGAGGCCTACCACGAAATGCTCCCAGAACCCAAAAATGCTCTAATCACTTGGAACATGAGCCCGGTGCGTTAAAGCCAGAAGTGTCCTGAGAACATTATGTGGAAACCACGGGAGGGTTCTTAGAATATTGTCTGATAGGCATATGGACGGCCAGGACGCTTCGCCAATGCTCGAATCACAGATCGATGCGGCTCGAACCATGCCGCGGCAAGGTGGGGCCCGAGGGCCTGGGGCTCTGGCCGAGCCTTGTTCCGCGGTGGCGCAGCGTGTCCGCAACCTCGGAGACTGGGGAAGGCAGATCCTGGGCCTAGGAGGCCCGTGCACGTGCCACCCGGCCAGGCCAGGAGGGCGCGCACCGCACGCCCCGATCCTGAGCCGGGGCTGGGCCCGGCCAGGCTCGGCGACGTGGACAGCCAACGTCAGCCGTGAGGAGGAACGCGTGCCACGATGGAGTCCGGCAGGCTCTCCATTCGGGGACGGCGAGGACCCAGACAAAAGCGATGTCTACATCTCGTTCAGCGCGGGTCCCCGAAATTCCCACCCCGTCCCCAGGGCCGGCATTTCAATCCCGATTTTTTTGTTGACGGTCCCAGGGCCCCGGGCCCCTGGAGACCAAAAACGGCTAGAAACCTCTCGCCCTGATGTCTTCACGACGCGAGCACGTCTGGGGCTCTTCACGTAGTGCTGGACCCTCTCTGGGCCTCCCGAGGCATCCGAAGCCTCAGGGACCCCCCCAAGGGCATCCAGAAGAGACCTCCGCAGGCCTCCTGCGGTCAACGCAGGTCCAGTGCTGGTGTCCCTGAGATCCGACGCTGCGACTAATGACGCCGAGCCAAGCCAAGCTGAAGGTGCGACAGCGCCCAGGGCTGGGCAGATACATGGACAGATCATGCGCAGACGTATCGATGCGGTGGCGACGCGGTGGGTGGGGGGCCTATGTAGATTGACGAACAGACCAAAACCGCCAAGCAAAATCGACGGGGCGACGGCGAATGCTCTTTGGATGTCGACTAGAACGGAATCCTTTACATGTACAATCTCGCATGGACAAACGCGAAAAATTGCTTCCAAATCCCACCAGCCCTTTCTGGCGTGAGTGGTTTGGCGAGCTTCCTCTTCCAACTCCCCACTTCCCCGTCCAGGCAGTCAAAAAACAATACATAACACATTCTGGAGCAAAATATTGGGCCGTGCTCGTCGGCCCTGCGAGCACTCCGCGTTGTCTTCTGACCTGGACGGCAGGGGCGCCCTCGCAGCGCCTGCTTTGCGCAAGGCCACTATCCTTATCGAAAAACCATGCCACATGCACCCCGCGGCTAAATCTGGATCATGCGCGTCCACCCCGCGATCACAATCCATTGGTGTTTGACAAAGTCCGCGGGGGTGCTGGCATACAGTCAACCCGTAAAAGCAAGACGCACGAGAAAGGCATGCCGATACTTTGCGAGCGGGGCGCGGCCAGCGAAAGCGGCCCAGGGATGGGCCGACGGGGAATGATGCGAAGGCACCCTTGGAAAGCCAGTATCCTTGCTATGCGGGTTGACTGTGTTGCCTGCTGTGTGCAGGCCCACCAGACACCATGATGGCCTTCCCGCCGCGATTGTGCACTGGTTCTCGACAAGGATTGGCGGGGCCGGCGCGCTGTCGCGTGCGGTCGGCGACGGCGGCGGGGCGGCCGCCGAGAGCCTCGCGAGCGACCTCCGCCCCGCGCGGCCTCGGCCCACCCCTTGCCGAGACTGCCTCCGCGCGCCGGGCGGCCCGCCAAGGAGATTCACATCGTGATGTGTCTTCATCCTCCTCCTCCTCCTCATCCTCCTCCTCCTTTCCTTTTCCTTCTGCGCACCGGGCGCGGCTGGGCCATGCGGAACACATGGCGCACGTGGAACACGTGGCGCATCTGGCGCGCGAGGCGCGCCTGGCACGCTTGGGCCCCAGGGGTGTCTGGGGCACCTGGAGCGCCTGGTGCGCGTAGCGCACCTCGCCGTATCGCGCAGATGGTGACTGTGTTGGTTCCAAGTGGTTGCACGTTCATCAGACGACCGCTGAACATGCTGAGGCCTGGGTGTTATTTCTGTGTTGGGAGGGCGGGCGGGGGTGAGCGAGACAGATTGCGGGCGGGAAAGGTGTCCTGATCCCTCCCCCGACCCCCTACAACCAGACCTGGACGCGGCGCCTGGCGAGGTGTCAGAGGGCCTATTGTGGGCCAAGATGCTTCCAATAGGGCTTCCGAGAGCCCAAGATGAACTCAAAGATGGCCAAAAATACTCCAAGATGGCATTAGCTCGTTTCCAACATGCTCCAAGAGACCCCGAGACCAGTCCAAGACGGCTCCATTGGCTTCGGATACTTTCAAGGAGGCCCCCTAAAGGCCGAAATCCAAGGAAAATCAATGATGTTTGCCCTCTCGCTCTTTCGTTTCTGATGGGCTCCTAAAGCTCCAAGATGGCTCCGAAAAGGCCCAAGAGGGCCCCAAGAGGGGCCCAAGATGGCTACGAGACGGCCCCGAGAGCGTCCAAGAGCACCCGAAAAACGCCCTAGAGGGGCCCCAAGAGGCGACTTTGGGGGCTCCATTGGGCTGGTGCTGAAGCACACCCACCCACTCGATGATCAACCCAAACATTGTAGAACACAACGGTTTTGAAACATGGTTGCTTTTCGGGGATCTGTCGGAGTCTTGTGGCCAATGGGGCTCCAAGGTGAAACAGCGTTGTCCAAGGTAGCACATGATGGCTTCCAAAATGCCTCCAAGAGGTTACATGATTGCCACAGAACGGGTCCAAGAGGCCACGGAGACTCCCAAGCAAGCCCCTCAGAGGCCAAAATCGATTAAAACAAAAACGTAGAAACAAAAAAAGATAAAGAGAGAAAGAGAGAGAGAGAGAGAGAGAGATAGAGAGAGACAGAGAAAATAAAAAAAGAAAGAGAGAGAGAGAGAGAGCGCAATCCACCGTCGCTGGCTGGCAAAAACCAAGTGAGAACCCCCCCTTTTCAAAAAAACCATGTGGGAGCAGAAACCAGGGGACCCCCGCCCCTTGAACCACCCCCCCAACCCCTCCCTCCCGGGAAGAACCTAGGGCCCCCGCCCGTCCCCCTGGAAAAATTACTCGGGGGGTCACGACGACGACGACGACAACGACGACCACGAGGCCGAGGACGACGATGACGACGACGACTACGACGACGACTACGACGACGTTAGCGGCGTCGAACCTGTCGCCTTCTGGTGGTTCTAGATCCTGGGGGTCGGTCCCAAGGTCGCGTGCCCAGTGGCTATGCGATCTGAGGTGCCCCCCTTGGTCATCAGTTTGGTGGCCTCCTATTTTTCTGCTCACGGAGGGCCGTTGCGCTGATCGGATCTGTTCCCAACCCTGGATTGGAAACGTTGAGCTTGGGGCCGACTCCGCGATCTCAAAGACACCAGAAGGCAACAAACTCGAAACGATCAAGGCCCTACGTCTGGATGCTGCTGGAAACCAATGTTTCTACGGAATAAAGCCCTGCGGCCGAGAAGCGGTCGTTGGACATTGAGCGAAGCGGCAAACGAGCACATTTACGGAGAGAGGAAAGGGTGGACACAGGGACTGGGGCCCCTAGGGGCCCTCGCGCAAGCCACAGGGGGACTTCGGCGGGGGGCGGAAGGTAAGACAACGAGTGGCAGGAAGAGGAGGCACGTGAAGAGAGGTGCGCACGAGAGGGGTCAAAGAGCGACAAGGGGGGGGACGACGAGGAAAAAGGGCAGGGATATGTAAGCATCGCTCTCAGGGGGAGAGAGGGGGGCAAGTAGGGAAGGAGAGGACAGGGTGGCATCCAGGATGGATTTACGATCGTGGCGCGAACAACTCCGCCAACATCCTTGGGCTATGTCTGGACGGGGGGGGGGATCAGCTCAAAAACGCACGGCCCATCCAGGCCCCTTTCTGTCCCTTACCCCCCCGTTGCCGCATTCTCTTCGCAACCCAGGGCGGTGGCGATGGTGGAGGGGGGGAGGTGGCGATGGTAATGATGATGTGGATGGTGATGATGGCTTCCACTGCTGCATCCCGAACTAGCCAGCGCTGCCGGCGCAGAGAAGTCGCAAGCATGGAACGAGAACTGCCAGACAATCGAGCGCCAGGCTAATACAAACAATCTCGCGTGCTCGCCAACTCGAGCTGTCCTGCTGAATCGCCTCGGTCGTCCAGCGACGATTACCGCCTCAGGCCCTCATGAACTCAAGCGCTTTCGTTTTCACACTCTCGTGCAACTCTATCTCAGGAACGTCTCCGATCATGGTGCCTGTGCGGTTGAGCTCTTCCTCCACGCGGCTCTGGCGCTGAGCTAGGCTAGTTGTTTTGCCCCTCGAAATGTTGGGGATGATTTTGATCTCCGCCAAGATGGAGCCGATGCCCCTCGTGCCCTTGACGACCACCTTCTCAAGCGGGCCGAACGTCGTATCAGAGCTGAGGTCAATGTGCAGGTCATTCGCAGACTTCTTGTAGCGTTTCAATGCCTCCCTCGCCGTCTGGCGCGTCTGCGAGAGCCTCTTGTTCGAGCCCTTCATCTTCGCAGAGAACAGCGTCTCCTCGGCCGCTGAAAGGATCTCATCGTAAGTCATCCTCGCCCGCGCTGTGGGATCGCGCCCCTGTAGTCGCCGCCATCGAGCAGGCCTCCTCGCAGGAAGCGCCGAATGCCACCGCGCCCCCCCCCCCCCCCCCCACACACACACACACACGCACTGCCCCTTCTCAAACCCGTGCCCCGCGGGGCAGTGGCCTGACAAAGTGCAGCGGGGCGAACGATGGGTAGGATTCGAGGCCCCCCAATCCTTTCTGCTGCCCCACCTGGTCGACCGCCTCGCTCAGCGCCTGCGTCTCGGAAGCCAGTGCTGCCGCGCCGTACTCAGTCAGGGCCGCCTGGATGTTCTTGGTTACGCTCTCAGACATCGACTCCACCATGAAGAACTTGGTACACTTAGACTGGATGGCCGCGTCGCTCCAGCTCTCGCTGGTGCCCGGGACGATCTGCGACTTCCAGAGCTGGCTGCGGTCGGCCTTGTAAGCAGTCCACAAACTCTCGCACGAGTCGTTGCCCTGATCAGAGGCCGCCTGCTGTTCTGCATTATCACCTTCAGCCTGAAGCTCGAGGAAGCACAGGACGAGAGTCGCCTTGTCGAAGATGAGGGCCCCCAAAACCTTGGCCTCCTCGTCGGCTGGCTCCGACTCGGACAAGAAAGAAAACACCTTCCCCGTCGAGAGGTTCATCATGTCTTTGATCCGAGACATCTCCTTCACCCACTCCTCCTCAGTACGCCCACCAGTAAACGAATATGACCCCAGCGTTGTCATCGCAAACGAGGTGCCTGCGTGCAAAGCCTCCCGCACGGCTGCCACCTGCTCCGCATCGGTGAAGAGGAGGTGCCTCTGGTAGCTCACTTTCTTCAGCACGTTCGTCGTCTCGAGGTTTGGGTTGGCAGTGAAGGAGGCCAGTGCATCAAGCATTCTCTTCGAGCTGTCGATCTTCTTCATGTCCTCCAGCTTCCCAAGGGGCGCGCGGCGCATGGAATGCGACTTATCCCCAGCCCAAGAGTTCTCGGGGAAGGTTGTGACGTTGCAGATCTCCTCGATGAAGTTGTCGACGCCCTTCATCTTCTCGACGTCGTCGGGCATCGCGTGGAAGATGCTGTTGCTGAGCCACTTCTCCATATTATCAAGCAGTTTGCACCGCCCGCGGTCGCAAGACAGTGGCCTGCACAACTTCGTCATGCGGTTGAGCTCGGTCACTATCTCCCTGAACCTGTTCTCGTCGTTGATGTTGGCGCAGAGCTCATCCAGCAAGGCTGCCATCTTCGGGGCGATGGCGAACTCGTCCGCCTTGTGCCGCGTGAACTGCACCAGCAACGGCGACCAAAACTTGCTGTCCTCGAGGTCTTGTTTCGAAGGCAGCCAGGCCTCAGCCAAACTCCCGTCCAAGAACTTCTTCGTCGTCGTAGGGTCCATCCCGACCATGTGCTCCACGGATGGCGTACCCAGGACTTCGAGCAGCTTGAGGATGGTGATCAGCTCATCGACTGCCTTCTTCAGGATGGCAGCGTCATCTGCGCTGATGCCTGGCAAGGCACCGTCGGTGGCCTTGAGGATATCACTGTGGAGGGGGCTGATGAGCATCTGGTTGTTCTTCCCTGCCTTGATCAGCGGCTGCGCGAGGAACTCGGAGACCACACCTCTGAACCTCGCCATCATGGCAGCAGGCTCAGCAGCAGGAAAATCACGCAGACGCGGCTTCAACGGATCGAAGGTTGGCTCCTCCTCGCCGTCGGCCTCGGCCTTCTCAACGGCGTCGTTGTAGTCGTCCTCCTCGCGGCCCAGTGGCATGATGGCGTCAACCATGTCCTCGACCTCATGTGCGTGCTTGACGCGCAGCTTCACCAGCTTCAGGGCGTACTCTGGGGGCCAGGCCTGCCCCTTCGTGTGGGGATCCTCAAGCGTCTTGTGCAAGAAGGACTGGTCGACGGAGCCAGGATTCACAATCTTGTAGGCACTCTCGTACTTGAGCCTGGCACGCCTCACGTTGGAGACGCCATTGCTGTCGCTTGCGGTGTCCTCGAACCGAGTTGCATTGTACGCGTCGCTGCCGTTGTAGTGGCCCTGGAGTACCTTGGCGGAGCCCAGCTTGGTAAGGAGGTCGACCTCCTTCTCCTTATCGCTCTTCTTCCCATGCCGCTTCCCACCAGCTGTCGTTGTCATCCCCCCATCGCTGATGCAACTCTTGGTATCGGGGCTCGCTCGTGGCTCAACCCTGCAAGCAACCTTGGGCGACGGCGAGGGCTGCGAGACGGTCGCTAGCGACCCCGCGAGGTCGCCCAGTAGTGGAGCAGGTCTAGGAGTATGATCTCCGCTGTCGGAAGCAGGCGGGGGCATATCACGCGAAGCGGCCGCATTTGATGAACCGCCCTCAGCGTCTGCACCACTGTATGGAGCAGTCTCGGCCTCGGCATCCAACAGCCCCCTCTTCGACTCAGCAGGCGCGCCCTGGCCCACCATGCCCAATGCTTTCTTCTTCAAGAACTCCAAGGATGGCGGGAGCTTGTTTCCCCGCAGGCTCACGGGCAACTGGTCATTCAATAACTTCCGCATCTTGTCAAACACGTTGGCTGGCTGCGCCTGCTGGAGGCGCTTCTTGCTGTCCATGTTCACGATCTTGTCCTCGATCTCCACCTTGCACCACACCTTGACCTGGAGGAAGGGGACGCTGTCGTCAGTCGTGATGGCCATGTCCTGGAGGTTCTGGTTCGCGTTGAACGGGCTAGCTAGGGATGCTTGCTGCCTTCTCTCCGAGAGCTTCGAGGTCGAGGCCCTTTGCATCCGCCTTCGCCATGTCGGACTCCTTCTTGGCAGCGAAGTTCGCAGCGACAGTGTAGCCCATCCTCTTGTGCGCCACGATGCTCTGCAGCGGGAACGGCCTCTCCTCGGGCGCCACATTCGACATCTTGATCAGCTTCTCGCAGTTCCCGTTGAAGTCGTCGTCGGCAGAGCACTGCCCGCAAACCTCCTTGAAGGAGAGCCCGATCGCGTGGCACGCCGACATGGGGGCATAGCATGGGTCGCATGCGTTGACCGAGAGGGGGGCCAGCATGCTCGGAGTAGAAGTCTTGCCGCGCCTCTGGCACTTGCAGTCTTCGCCATGGCCGCGCAACTGAGGACCAGAGCCTGGGTGCGGCGCATCAGTGCTCGAGCCCCCGCTGGAAGACGAAAGCCCTGGAAGCTGGAAGTCGCGGTTCTGATCAGGATTCTCTGAGTCCCCCATCGCAGCAGCCTTGCGCTTGGAAGCAGCAGCCCCGCCGCGAGCAGGCCTAGCACCACGAGGAGCGGCATCGCGCTGCTCACCGTCCAGCGCTGACTGGACTTTGCCTTTGCCTTTCTTCGCCATTGACGCTTGCCACTACTACTGCACGTAGCACGGTAGTCGATCTGGAAGCAGATGCAACGAACCGCTCGGAAGAGCAGATGGTTTGAGCCGACATGGCTCCGCAAAAGAAAACATGAACAATGGAATCTTCTCATGACGTATGCATTGCGATTTGACCACACTACGGTGTCATTCTGCGAGTTGGCTCAATTCAAAATCGCAAGCTGTCAACGTAGGCTCGACCTGTAGGATGCAGGAGGAGGATGAGGAGGAGGGAGGAGGGGAGAGGAGGGAGGAGAAATGGAGGGAGGGAAGGAGGGAGGAGGAGGAGGAGGAGAGGGAGAAGGAGGAGGAGGAGGGAGGCTGGCCCCAATTTAGAGGCGCGCTGCATCACATACTCGGGCCCTGGGGGGCCGCTTCTTCCGGTAAGATTTAGCACCCAGAAAGAAGCAAAGGCGTTTCCAAACAGGCAGTGTCGCTTGTTTATTGCGGTTGCATGAGTGCTTCAGTGGGCAGAACGCAAGTTGACGTGCATGCGATGCTACGTGATGCGATGCTATGCGCCGCCGTTTGAGACTGACATCGCAAACTTGTCGTCTACCCCCCAGCCCCACCCCCTCCCCCCAAGACGCCCAGTCCGCGCGAACGTGCACGCCCCCATATACAGCTGAAGAATGCGCATGCCACGCCGTGACATTGGTAGGCTCCCTCACGCTCAGTTGGACGCCAGGAGAAAAAATAAACGCAAACGCAGTGCGGGAGAGAAGGCCCACGCGTCGAAATGATTCCTCACAGCCGACGTCCGCGCATGGCGACGAGGCTCTTACTACCGAAAGACCACAGCGGAAACGCGCATACTTCCCGAAGTACCCCATCGGGTCTTGGCCACGGTTTGCTGGACAAGAGGAAGAGAGCAACGCTGATATTTAAGTCGGTGCAACCCTTCGCGCGCCCGACACCAGGCGCAGCTACTCACGCTGGGCAGACAGAACTAACTGACCGCACTCGAAATCGAGCGAAGGCGTGCGAGTCCCCTTGGGCAGGCAAGTTGCTTTACACGGCTACAGACGCGCGGATTTCAGATGCCACCGCGGTTGGCCCAGCAGGTTTACAAGATAGTTTACACCAGTCCTAATTGTACATTGAAGACATCCTGATGACAAACGCGCGCTGCTAAGTGCAACGCGCCTGGGAGCACGCAGGCGCGGGGCGGAGCCACGCAACTCAGGCGCGCATTGCTTCGTGGGACGACCCACATATGTAATGTGCCACGGTTGTCCGAGCACGCGCTACATGGCATGTCTGTGGTTCCGGAAACCCCCAATAACCTTAAGAAAAACATTCCTACCGTCGGCTTGCAACGGCGCAATGTCATGCCAGCCCCAAAATAACGTTTCAATGTGCGCGGCGCGACCACCCGCTACATCGCGTGCGTTTGTGAAACACGCGCGCAATGGCCGCCCAGGCCCGCGAACGAACTGACCAACGCGCTCGCCAGAAACAAATTCCCGGCCCGACGCGGCGCCCGATCACACGACGCGGTAGCCCTGGATCTGACGTGCCACCGACCACGCCAACAAGTTCATGGCGTGGTCGGCGGACTGACTTAACAGGGAGTGCCCCCACCGCGCGCGCAACGCGCGACGCTCGCAAAACATACGCGCGCAACCCACTTCTGGTCCATGGCCAAGTCAAACCACACTTTGGCAGCCCCCCCCCCCCCCAGAAAATAATTTGACGCACTGCTTCATTGTAGCGCCATGCTCGCAGCCGTGCCCCCCTCCCACCCGCCCCACCCCCACCCCGCCCCACCCCGCTCCGCCCCACCCCCCACCTCCGCGCCCACCCACCCACCCACCCACCCACCCACCCCCGCCCCCACGCATCCACCATCGCGTTCCATCCTTCCCCTTCCCCCCGCCACCACCAACAACCACCGCCACCCCGCCACCACAAACACGCGCAACCACCGCCGCCACCCCTCCCCCCCCCCCAAACCCACCCCCACCTCACAGCACGGCACCCACCACGCTGCCCCCCCCCCCCCGCCCCCTTCACCCACACAACCATTCATCCCGTCGCACGCCGACGCAGACCCAACCCCGCGCCACGCCCGCCCACTCGCCCGCCACCTGCAACCCGCGCCAGGCGAAACTTCACCTTCCGCACGCACCCGCTCCAACCGATGCCCCATGCCCATCCCCTCCCCCACAAGCGCATCCCCATCCATCACCCCGCCACGCCGCGCCACCCCCCGCCCTACGGAAACCGCCCGCATCCCGCGCCCCCACCCCAACGTGCGTGCGCACCACCGCCACCGCCCTCCAGCCAACGCACCCGCGCGCCCCAGCCTTACCCAGACCACCCGATCCCCACCCTTCACCCTTGCCACGCCACACCCCATCCGCCGCCCAAGCCCACGCATCCCAAACACGATCCGCCCACCCCCCCACACGCCCTGTCTCACGCCGCCCCCACGCCCCACACACACGCCCACACCACCGCCGCCGCCACAACCACCACCACCAGCCCCCTTCCCACGCACACAAGCATCCACCATCCCACCACCAACCACGCAACTCCACCCTCCCACCCTGCCCACCCCACCTCCACCCCGCGCGCAAGTTGCTCGCGCCCACCATGCCCACCACAAACACACACCACCCGACACACACACAGACACACACACACACACACCCAGCCAACCCCACCCCACCACCACCGCACCAACACCACCACCCCACCCTATTCCCCCAGCCCCGCAAGACCCACCCTGGCCAAACACGCGGCACGCACACACAGACACATGCGCACACGCCAACACGCACGCACACGCGTTTGCATGCACACACACACACACACGCACACACACACACACACACGCACGCACGCACGCACGCACACGCACGGCCCATCCGACACGGGCTGCAGGGTGTCCGATACAGACCCTATACGAGCTTTATGGTGTCCAAGGCAGATCCCATGCGGGTTGCATGGGTCCCGATACAGATCTCAGAATGACTGCATGGGCTCGGATACAGATCCGATACGGATTGTAGGAGGCCCGACAAAGATCGCAAACGTATTGTATCGGGCCAAAGACAAGTCACACACAGACTGCATGGGACCCAATACAGACCGCATACGGACTGCATGGGACCCGATACAGACCCCAGACGGATTTTATGGGACCCGCTAAAAATCCCATGCGTGTTGTATCGGGTCCGATACAGATCTTGTGCGGATTATATGGCGCCCGATACAGATCCCATACGCCTCGTTTGGGCTCCGAAACAGATCTCATACGTATTGTATCGGGCCCGATACAGAACCCATGCGGATTGTATTTGACCTGATACAGATCCCATGCGGAGAACATGGGGCCCCATACAGACACCATACGGAATGTATGGGGCCCGATGCAGATCCCATACGGGTTGAATGGGGCCTGACACAGACCCCATACGGACTGTATGGGACCTGGTACATATCTCATATGCACTGTATGGGATCCGAAACAGATCCCATACGGGCTGTAGGGTGTCCGATACAGACCTTATACGAGCTTCATGGTGCCCAAGGCAGATCCCATGCGTGTTGTATGGGTCCCGATACAGATCCCAGAATGATTGCATGGGCTCGGATACAGATCCGAAACGGATTGTATGAGGCCCGGCAAAGATCGCATACGTATTGCATCGGGCCTAATACAGGTCGCACACAGACTGTATGGGATCCAATACAGACCGCATACGGACTGCATGGGACCCGATACAAATCCCATACGGATTGTATGGGACCCGCTACGAATCCCATGCGGGCTGCATCGGATCCGATACAGATCCTGTACGGATTATATGGCACCCGATACAGATCCCATACGCATTGTATGGGGTTCGATACAGATCTCATGCGTATTGTATCGGGCCCGATACAGAACCCATACGGATTGTATTTGACCCGATACAGAACCCATGCGGCGAACATGGGGCCCCATACAGACACCATACAGAATGTATGGGACCCGATGCAGATCCCATACGGGTTGAATGGGGCCCGACACAGACCCCATACGGACTGTATGGGACCTGGCACAGATCTCATACGCACTGTATGGGATCCAAAACAGGTCCCGTACGGGCTGTAGGGTGTCCGATACAGACCCTATACGAGCTTTATGGTGTCCGAGGCAGCTCCCATGCGGGTTGTATGGATCCCGATACAGATCTCACAATGATTGCATGGGCTCGGATACAGATCCAATGCGGAGTGCATGAGGCCCGGCAAAGATCGCATACGTATTGTATCGGGTCCAAGACAAGTCACACACAGATTGTATGGGACCCAATACAGACCGCATACGGAC